CACCTGTAGTGGCATGCACACATGTTGAAGATTACTTTGAGGTCTTCTTTTATGTCACAGGTCCTCGTATGTGTTTGGGAGAGGGTCTGGCTCGTATGGAGCTCTTCCTCATCCTGGTGACGCTGCTGAGGAAGTTCAATTTCATCTGGCCTGAGGATGCAGGAAAGCCAGACTACACTCCAGTCTATGGCGTTACTCTGACTCCCCAACTGTATCACATGAAAGTCCAACTCAGGGAAACAAATTAAAGCCGTCTTCAGATAAACAGCAGACCAGAGGAGACCTAGATTGATAAAAACAGCTTTTAAATACTCGGAACAAATACAAAATCAACAATAGAGGGCTTTTTTTGCTAACCGTAATGGCTGTTAACAATACATATATCGAAATATGCCATAAAGGCGAGTGAGCATTAATGTTATAGCTGGACTGCTGGACTTTTACATACATATAAACGTCCGTTACATTCAAGTCCTTTCCAAACGGTTTCACAAAACGCTGTTTAATCCTACTGCGACTGGGAAAGTATTTCTCAGTACACCAGATTTGTGGTGTCTGCCGTTTGCGACCACAACCCACGATGGTGCATGTATTGCAAGAAGTATCATGAGGAGACAGGCAACATGTTAAGCTACAGGTCATGTGGCCTCCACTGGTAGCGGGCTGCCTGAGACACCAATCAAACCCAAAAATATTTCCTGATTACCTTACCTTACTTAACCTCACCTTAGCAATCAAGAAAACATACAACTCTTTATATTATATAAAAAATTATTAGCTTTCAACATGCTAACTTAAGACTACCTGTTATCAGTTGGTGCCTAAAAAGTTGCCCATACAGTACTTCCTTGTAGTCCTTCTAATTAACCCTAGGCCATTATCGTAAGACCTTTACTGGAAATTACCCATCTCAGCAACAAATGATTATCTGCAGTTGCCTTTTCTCTACCTTTAAAACTGTGGCTTGCACTGAGAGGCAATCCCTACATGTTGTTAATCTGTTCCAAGGTCAACAGCCTGGGATCCACCTCTGTTTCTGGTGACTCTCAGGGTATGCAATGGGTTCTCTATTCCCCTAATGGCTGTCTTTTCAGCCACTTTGTCTTTACTTAGGGGCTTTCCCAGCTGACATATGCACTGCAGTCACTAGCTGAATGCTAGCTATGACAGCTAAAGGCCCCTACACACCAATCTGACATCAAAGAACACGTCCCGACGGACCCGACTGTTGTGTCGCCTCACGTCTTCTGCGTCTTGGCCAACAGTTGCACTGGAACACACCGCAAAAACTTCAGCCGACGGCCAAGTAGCACGTACGAACTGCGCATGCGTGAGTGGCAATAACTCTCCTTACCAGCAGGCGGCGGTAGTGTGTATTCGTCATTCAAAAGAGGCAACAACCGGAAGACAGACTGCATGATACACCGAGAGAAGAAGAACAGACTGCGTGATATAAACAAACAACAAATAGCGTGTGCGTTCCATTTTCACTCTACAGCGAGAAGCTCATGGGGCTTTCCCGAACCTGTGTCGAGAGCTGGAGTTAAAGGAAATATCAGATTTGCCTTCTTAATCGTTTGTTTGGGTCCCTCACTTCCGTTTCACTTCTCATGCATTGATTCACTAAGCTGAACAACCAATCAGAGTGATTTCTTTAGCCGACGGCCTTTTACCGACAGCCTACCAGTGTTGCCAAATTCGGCGGTTTTCCAAACCCTCCGGCTACTTATTTTTGTCAAAAGCGACTAATGACTAATCTAACGACTTGTAATGGTGTTATTAGGAACTTTTCTGGTGTTTGGAGACTCACGTATTGTTCAGCAGTTAACGAGCCGCGGGTGCTGCCGTGAGCCCCTCTGCCCTCCCATAGTACTCACAGGTGCTCAGACTCACAGTTGCCTCCCACAGCAGCTCAGCTGCAGTCAGAGCAGAGAGGAGACAGCCACACTCTCCCGCATTGAGACTGCAAATGAATTGAATGAACTGCCAAGCCATCCTGGTTTTGAGCGGGATTTAAATGTAAAATGTAAATGTTTCTTCACTGTCACACTATAATAAAAAAAATAAACAGCCTCAGTCACTTAATCACCTTGTCCACTGTGTGTGTGCCTAGCTCTGTGACAAGCTAAACATTCACGTAGGTCATCATGTCATGTCACAGTCTAAACTATTCACAGAAAGGAGTGGGAATCAAACCCTGAGTTTAAAGGATGGTTGAAGCCATTATTGGAGATGACACACGGGCATACTGCCTTTATTGTAAGGGAGATTTCTACTAAAAACTATTAAAACTATTTCTACTTTCTACTTTGTCTAATAGAGACATTTCTGATCTACTGTCGTCTGGATTTACTCTGGTGGTTTTAAGTTTTGATCTTTGAAGGGGGTGGAACGTTTTTTTTACCGCCATTACATGATATGCAAATTAGGCGATGACGTCATTTAGGGACTTCTGGTGACTTTTCGGACAGCCAATAGCTACTTTCCTTACTATGGAGTTGGCAACACTGCCTACCGATTCCACAAGTTGAATCGGCAGCGGAAGGTGTCGGCACGGCCGAAAAGACACGACGGGGCGGGACACACCAATCTGAGTAGGGCGACAGGACGCTCATCGACGGCCTGACATCTATCGACGCCGAAAATCGGCTTGTGTGTAAGGACCTTTACAATACACATACTTAATTAGGCCCAGCAGGTAAAGGGACATTGTCAGTCATTTATTCAGCTGTATATCAAGCATAGTCGTTATTATGGGAGTTAAACCACACATCGGACTTAAACACAAGAGACATCATCTTGTTTTTTAATTCAAAAATGTAAACGGCTATTTGAAAAGGGACGTTTATATTTGCCCTCAACCTTAACCACATATTTATAACTGAACTCATGATGTCTCTACCTTGGCAATGAAGTTGAAAAAAACAAGAACATAAAAAAAGAAACTAAGTACTTGTTGAGTAATTTAGGCCTTGTAACTAATTCACCACCACTTACTATGGTATGATCTTACTTGAAGTAAATATATCGCCACTTTCGTTGTTGTTCAGAGTTTGATTCTTTATGGTTTTTGCACTTATTGTAAGTTGCTTTGGATAAAAGCATCAGCTCAATGAAATGTAATGTAAAATGATTCATGTCCACTACCTTAATAAGACGGTATTTTTTTAACCCAGAACCAAACAAGTTGTTTTTGTGCCTTAATCTCAGCAAACCTTTATTTTAGAGTTGGGACACCGTATGTGTTTTTTAAACAGGATTTGGTATATATACTTACTACCATTTACCTTTGTATTCAAATGACATACTTTGAAATGTAAACTAAGCACTTACCCAAATTACATACTTTGATTTGTACGTATACCTATTAACCTTTGCATCCAAATGTCTTGTTTGGATATGCAAACTTAGCACATACTAAAATCACATGCTTTTATATGTAATTGATTTATATAAGATTACATGTTGGTGGTCTTTCTGGCTATTTGTTCATGGTTTAAGTCTGAGTAAGAGAATTTAAATGTTGTGCATTCAAAAATAAACAGCCATTTTAACAACATCAGTCTTTCCATTGTCTATCATTAAACACAAATAAAATATTTAAATAAATACATTTCCAATGCGGTAGGGACTGTAAGTTCTTAACTGCAGCCTGCAAAACAGATCAACTTAAAGCAGCAGTAACAACAATGTGTAAAAACAGCTTTAACCAATACACTAATATTGTCACATCCATCCTCAACCACTGTTTCTAGCATAAAGGAAGGTCAATCATGTGAACTTAAGCAGTTTTAGGTGATCACACTTGTCTTTTCCTCCTCATCGTTTGGGCTTTTAGAATATTGTGTGTTAGTACAATAGAATAACATTCATCAGACCATCCAACACATTCAGGCTTCTGCAGTGTTTTAAATCATAGGGGGAAAAAGATGACGACAACAGTTATTGAATGGCTCCCTCAAGTGGGCAATATTGGGAACAGGATTTTATGTTCAATGTGATTTTAAACCTTAAGTCTTTAAATGTACATAAAACTGATATATTAGTTGGTTTCTATTTCAAGGATAAGCAATTATCTCATTGACTACATCTCAGACCCCCATTTTCTCAATTGAAGTTGATCTCTTAATGTAATTCAACAAATGTTGGAAAGCGTTACTCAAATTGTGTTTGTTTCTCTTAATGGTAGTGATTTTTCTCTCTATAGTTGTTCAAAGATATCATATAGTTTGTAATAGTTACAATTTGGAAAATGTAATAATGTCTAAAAGATCTATTCAAGTTATCAGATCCATGCCTTAGCATTTCGGAATATGTTATTCATTGGAATTCCTCCACAACTTAAATATTTGTTTACAATAGAACAGTTAACTCTCAAAGATGTTGTTTGAACAGTGGGTCAGTAGGCTTGTTATAGTTGTACATGTTGCTAGAGTAGTGCATTAAGCTGACCATAGCTTCAGAGTGAAGAAAACATGAGCATAGAGCATTGGTTTATTTCTAAATTACATTCAGTGTAATCGTTAAAGGAAACAGTTAATTTTTAATGAGAGACATCATATCTTCACTGCAAACTTAGTTTATTGCAACACCAAAAGTAAAGGGCAAATCCAGATCACACTATGGTTATTGGCAAGAGGCATGTCGGTAAAGTTGATTATTTATTAATCCATCTATGTGACCCTTTACTTTGCTCTAGGTTCTGTTATTTTACTATTCAGCCGTTAAATAATAATGAAAGATTGATCACATAATAATGGAGGGCAATGAGAAAATGTTCTGATGGACACGTCTCTAAAGTTCAAGTTGTTTTATCTGTGGAGTCAGTAATGAATTGGGATGTTTGGACTAATCTGCTTGTTGCTGCAGGCTTTTTAGGGCAAATTAATGGTTATGCAACACCTTTTCAGGACACATGATGTGCAAAGGTTGTGTTTGCTTATGAAGCCAACAAGATAAGAGACAAACTTAAACGCTGTGAAAATTCATCAGATTCAGAACTTCATCATGATTGCATCTGTGGTTCTACTCTTGGGAGCTGTTTTGCTCCTATCGCTCCTCTTTCAGAACCACAGGACCAAAGATTTCCCTCCAGGCCCTCGACCCCTCCCCATCATTGGGAACTTGCTGCAGCTCAATCTGGAGAACCCTATTGCGGACCTGGAGAGGGTAAAGTTAAATGATTTTACCAAGAGAAAATATTTTCTGAACATTTGTGCATACCGAATCATGCACTGATGGTTTATATACGTCTAAATAACCTACATTGGTGAAATGATATTGAAATGGTTCTTAATTTGTATATACTGTATATACCCTTAAAGGTAGGGTCAGTAAGAACGGAGAAACCAGCTCGAGTGCACTAGAATTTGAAACTACTCAGCCGAAAAAAATCTGCCCCTTCCTTCAGACTTCCTTACAGAGCCCCTCCTCCAACACACACAAACGCACACATGACCAATGAGGGCACGAGATAAGTTTGCGCACGAGATGGAAAGCTGACAGGCAGGTAGGCCATCCAGTTATTTTAGCCGGGCCGGCTAAAATGATTGGTCGTGCTTTTTACAGTGCCACGGCTTCCACAGATGACATTTTTGTATGTATTTATTGTCAAAGCATTTAATGTATTCATTGCTATCGGGATGTTAAGAGCATTCCATGGAATATAACAAAAAGTGTATCTGAAGTGAATTACCTACCCCACCTTTAATAGTCCCACAGAGGGGAAATGTACATTCTGCATTTGAGCCATCCTAGTGTTAGGAGCTGTGGGCTGCCGTTATGTACGGCGCCCGGGGAGCAGTGTAAGGACTGGTGCCTTGCAGGGACACCTCGGTAGCACTTCCTTCCGGTTCCCAAGCCAAGTCCCTATGGACTTCGCCACCACTGCCCATTTTTGCAATCTGTGTTTTTGTTGTGTGGTAAACCTATTTAAAATCACATTTCCTTACATGTTATTAAGCTGACACTTGTACCCAAAGCCTCTTACATACACATCAATACCAAAGACATGCCTACAGGAGCAATTCTGGGGTTAGATATCTTAATCAAGGATCCTTAAACATGGGGGAGATCAGCCGATAACCCCCTCAAAAGGCTGGTATTTATTAATTTGCTGGTTGGATAAACAGGAATTACATGTTTACTTATCTCGTCTGTCATCATATACTTGGTTCTGTAACAGCATTACATTTCAAACAATAGTACTGTTAGTGTCACGACCTAACACAAACTGGAGAACCCAAATGCACGACCCAGAGACAGTCTTGAATGTAGCAAAAAATGACAGAAAATCCCTCTTAACAGAGTAGGTACTGGATTAAACAAAAATAGCTCACAAGGAGGAAAAAACAAGCGTAACAAAAAGAGAATTCAAGATTAACTTAAGTCTGCAAAAAATAACAAAACCTGACTAAACTGGAAATTATCCTCTCTTGGCTGAAGCCTGGCACGATCATCCATGGAAACAAACGAGGGGTTAGTATGGTAGCCCTTGTTATATCTCTTACAGGCTCCGCCCTCTACTGGACTCTATGGGTACTCCCGTTGATCCTATCATGCAAGCATTCATTCACTGAGACTTTATAGGGAACCGCAGTGACGTGTCCTAAAACCCGGAAGTAAACTTCTTCCGGTTCCTTCAACAAAAATGTAATGCAATTTCTCCATAGGATTTTGGAAAATAGCTCGAAATAAGGTCTGTGGTTGACACACATTTAAGAGACGGATCAAGTTTTGTTTAGTCGGATAATCTCCACATGTCTACCCATCTCTTATCATTTTCGAATCATAAATCTATCGATCATAAATCTATCGATTAGATTTATGATTAGAAAATTATAAAAGTAGGGTATCCTTCCCTCCTTTTATGCGGTGAGATGCGCGCGCATTCAGGTAGGCCCGCCCCGGGGCCGGCTACGTCTATAAAGTCTCAGTGGATGAATGCTTGCATGATAGGATCAAGGGGAGTACCCATAGAGTCCAGTAGAGGGCGGAGCCTGTGAGAGATATAACAAGACGAACTGACACAGGACAGGGGGAGACAGGACTATTTCAACATGAGGTGAGTGGGAACAGGTGGAAACAATCAGGAGCGGAGCAGACGCTGACGAGGGTGGGAAAACACACAAAGGGAGGAAGTAACAGGGCCTGAAATGAGAGACAAGAGGTAAGTACAAAATAAAATAGGAAATGGAAAACGACATGAAACACAGGGACTTGACTAGAGATGAAATGACATAAATAGACAGACATGACGTGAAATAACATGAAAAGACAGACATAACACATAAACATGACTAACACATTTTTTTGACTGCCCAGGCTGATCAGGACGACGATCGTAGAAGTCCCTGATCAGTCTTATCAATGATTAGCGAGGGGGAAACCCATAAGCTCTCCTCAGGACCGTATCCCTCCCATTCGACCAGGTATTGATGTCCTCGGCCCCATTTGCGGACTGCTAGTAGCTTCTTGACCATGTATACCGGGCCCCCGTCGATGATTCGGGGCGGTGGAGGGGCCTTGGAAGCGGGAACCAGGGCGCTCTCCTGAACAGGCTTGATTTTGCTGGCGTGGAACGTGGGGTGGACCTTAAGAGACCTGGGGAGTTGGAGATGCACAGAGACAGGGTTAATAATGTTTTGGATAGGAAAAGGACCCACGAACCTTGGTGCCAACTTCCTGGAATTAACGTGTAGGGGTAAGTCTTTAGTGGATAACCAGACTCGCTGACCCGGTCTGTAGACGGGAGCCGCACGGCGGGAATGATCTGCCGCTGACGTCATCCTAGCGGACGTCCGAAGGAGTGCCTGCCGGGCTCCGGCCCAGACCTTCCGACAACGCCGGACCATGGCGTGCGCAGACGACTGGATGACATGTGAGCTTAGAGGTGTGAGCCCAGTGGATTACCTTGGAGCGTGATGACACAGGAACAAACAAACGATTATTTGGTGCTGGGCTCACAACATTAGCCTGCTTCACATCATTTTCTATCTGCCAGGAGACCGCCCCAACCACACAGTTCAGTGGAAGGATTGCCTCTGGTTCCTTGGCAGTAGGCTCTGGCTCATAGAGTCGTGACAGTGCGTCTGGTTTTCCATTCTGGGTACCCGGTCGGAAGGAAATCGTGAAGTTGAATCTGTTAAAGAACAGAGACCAACGGGACTGACGTGAATTAAGTCTCTTGGCTTTCCTGATATACTCCAAGTTCTTATGGTCTGTCCAAACAATAAAAGGTTGCTCCGCCCCCTCTAGCCAGTGTCTCCACTCCTCTAATGCTGCCTGACCGCTAGCTACTCCTTGTCACATACATCGTAGTTCCGCTCAGCTGAGGACAACTTACGTGACAGGTAGGCGCAGGGATGCTTGTCCTTGGTGGATCTCTGGGACAACACTGCTCCTATTCCCACGTTGGAGGCGTCCACCTCCACCACGAATTGTCGCTGGGGGTCTGGGACGGTAAGAACAGGTGCCGTGATGAATCTCTCCTTAAGAGTCATGAAGGCGGTCTCTGCCTGGGGACTCCACTGAAAAGAGACTTTGGAGGAAGTGAGATTATGCAGGGGAGTGGCAACAGAGCTAAAGTTCCGGATAAACTTACGATAAAAGTTTGCAAACCCTATGAACTGTTGCACCGTCTTCTTGTTGGTTAGTGTGGGCCAATTAGCCACAGCACTAACCTTGGAAGGGTCCATCTGTACCTGGTTGGCGGTTACAATGTGTCCCAGAAAAGAAACGGTGGCTGTGTGAAAATCACACTTCTCGGCTTTGACGTATAGGTGATTTTCCAGTAGCTTCTGGAGAACTTGACGAACCTGTGGAACATGGGTTTGACTGTCCGGGGAAAAGATTCATATGTCATCCAGATATACATACACAAATACATTCAAGAAGTCTCTTAAAATGTCATTGACGAAGGTCTGGAAGACAGCAGGAGCGTTACATAATCCAAAGGGCATGACCCGGTATTCATAATGTCCACTGGGGGTATTAAACCCAGTCTTCCACTCGTCCCCTTCTCTTATCCTGACCAGGTGATAAGCATTTCTGAGGTCGAGTTTGGTAAAGATTTTAGCAGACTGAAGCAGTTCAAACACTGATGACATTAATGGCAGGGGGTAGCGGTTCTTATTGGTAATGGCATTAAGTGGGCTATAGTCAATACATGGCCTGAGTGAGCCATCCTTTTTACTCACGAAGAAGAATCCTGCTCCTGCCGGTGAAGAGGGACGGATGATTCCCACTTTCAGGGAAGACGAGATGTATTCATCCATGGCCGCTCGCTCTGGTCCGGAGATGGAATAAAGGCGTCCCTTAGGAATGGGTGCGCCGGGTAGCAGATCGATAGCACAATCAAAAGGGTGATGTGGAGGTAGTGACAGAGCCTTGGTTTTATTAAAAACTTCTCTCAGATCGTGATAACATGCAGGGACTTCAGACAAATCAGGATACTCATAACCATTAACTGGTGTAGTCTCTGAGTTTTTATCAGACATGATGACTGGGTGAAGTCTGATCGCCGGGGTCTGTGTTATAGCAGGGCGAGGCGAGTTAGGAACCCTACAATTTTGCTCACATTCCCCTCCCCATCCCTTAACTTGGCCTGAGCCCCAATTAATGTGTTGATTGTGTTTTTTTAACCAGGGAAATCCTAATACAAGTGAGTGCTGAGGGGAATTGAATAAATGAAATTGTAACATTTCCGAATGATTCTGAATAACTACCTGAATGGGCTCGGTATGATGAGTGACTTGACACATTAGTCGGCCGTCTAATGCGCTGGCATTGATGGGGTGGGCCAAAGGAATAGCCTTAAGGTTAAGTTGTTTGGCTAGCTCCCAATCTATAAGACTCTCGTCGGCCCCAGAGTCAATCAGTGCCCCTAGTGTGTGTTCTTGGTTATTAACCATGAGCGTTATCTGAGTGGGTGTGCGTGGAGGGTATTTAGAGGGGAATTTGCTCACCAGCGCCCTCCTCATAGCCGGTGAGCGTGTCCTTTTCCCGGACATGCGGCATGCTGGTGACCCTGACGTCCACAGTAAAAACAGCTACCCTCCTGTAGGCACTGCGGCACTGTCTTTCTTCTGGGGAAATCCAGGTACTTCCCAGCTGCATGGGTTCCTCCCGTGCTTGTGGAGGCGCTGTTCCTGGAGTTGCAGAGGCCGGCGGAATCCCTGAAGAAGAATTCCCAGGAGAACGCCCCTGGTGGCTTGGAGGTCTAGGTGTGGCTCGACGCCTCTCTCTCTCCCTCTGAGGCGATTATCCACTCGAGTGGCCATGGAAATGAATGTTTCCAGGTCTTGAGGCAATTCCAACGGGGCCAGGCAATCCTTTATGAAAATTGCAGTACCCATAAGGAGCCGTACACATGCCGCAGTTTTTGCGTGGCTGTGTCTTTAGTTGTAAGCCCAGTGGCGATCTGTTCATCTGTCATACTGATCATACAGTCAATAACTTTGTTGTTATTAGCATCTGGTTAGCTAGCTATGCTAACAAATATAAGAAGCTTTTTCTACAACCAGTGAGGTAAAGACACATTTATATGATCATTATAGTTATACAACATTAAGAGAATAAAGGAAAAACTGGTATAAAATACTATATGACAGTAAAAAAAGGTTGTTATTAATAAACAAGAATACAGTTTAAAAGGAGAGTGATTTGTAAAATATCCATAAAGAAAAAGAAAATCTGCTTACTGTTCCATATGGATATTGAGAGATGTATCCATAGAGCTCTTAATTTTGCTCTCAAAGTGCACCAAATTGATGCTTTTAACTTCAATATTTCACTAACTTCAATATAACTAGAGGAGGTTAGGTCCCCACCCCCCACTTAAATAGTTTGAATCATGTTCACATGGATAGGAAACTAAATACATTTGCACACATCTTGTGTCCATATCTTTCGGTTTTGGTGGTCATGCCACAACCGTGCACGTGCATGCATGCGCGAGTCATGGTAAGATATCTGGATTAAGAGGTTGCTTTTTCTTTGAATGAAATGAATGGGCTGTGATTTTAGTTGAGTTCAATAATGTGTACGGCCCTTGGAGGATGTTGTAAAAATTGAAATGGTCCTTGAGAGGAAAAAGGTTCCCCACCCCTGCTTTATGGGATCTGACAATCCGTTCATCAACGCGGGGGTGTTCCAGCCACTGTCTGAGGCTGCGGTCCGGAATTCTATGGCGTAGTCTATGACTGGGTGAGACTGCATAAGAATCCGGATAGCCTCCCTGGAGGTTGAGGTCTGATCGAACACCCGGCTCATAGTGTCATAAAAAGCGGCATACGACCTGCATATGGGAGAGTCTCGAGCCCATTCAGCCGTGGCCCATGCTGCGGGTCTGCCGGTGAGGTGGGAGACCAAGAAGGCGATCTTGGCTTCCTCGGAAACAAACGCCGCTGGGATCACACTGGACCAGGAACGTTCTGCAGTTTCCAGACTCCCCGGAAAACCTCTCTGGTGATGCCAACCGTAATGGAACAGATGCCGAGCGAACCTCGGCCTGGCCAGCTGCAGGATCGACGGGAGGTGGCACCGTCGGCACAGCTGGACGGGTGATGATTTGGTGAAGCTGTGTCGCCAGCTGATTGACCTGTGCAGTTACGGCGGTCTGCGACAAGCCTCTTACTCCGTGCTCAATGGCTGTTAGCTGCTCTTGGTGCTGGTGGATCAGACTGCCTTGGGCAGATCAGTGCAGTCTGGAGCGCTTTTGGGTCGGCTGGGTCCATCTTTGGTCAGTTCGTTCTGTCACGACCTTAACACAAACTGGAGAACCCAAATGCACGACCCAGAGACAGTCTTGAATGTAGCAAAAAATGTATTTTTAATTTCAAGCAAACAGAAAATCCCTCTTAACAGAGTAGGTACTGGATTAACCTGTTTCACACCTTCCCCCCGGTACCGGGCGGATAAACGCGTCATTTGCAGGAAACAACGTCTAAGGAATCTTAATATTGAATAAAACTATGAATGTGTTATATCCATGTAACGGGAAGAAACTCAGCTAACTGATCTTTTTAATTTTTTTTGAAAAAAAAAACCCACAATGCTAGCACTCAGCCTCTGAATTAGCCTCGATCGAAAAAACGGGACCGACAAAGGCACTTAAACTCACTCATAACTCCCTTATTACTTATCCTAGATGCACAACCAAACACTCTTTTTTGGTGTCCTGGAGACACTGAATCTACCGGTGCCCACCTCAACACTCAGTGATAAACATTCGCGACGCTATCAACGAAAGCGTACATCATCACATGTGGAGCTAAGAAGCTAAACATGTAAATATGGCTTACCTTGGTCAAAAGTGGTCTTCAATGGCATTAAAACGATAAAAAAACGATGCTGCAGTTAATCCATAGGTTCATCTATGTGTCTGTGCCTTCTTTGAAATTATTTCTGATAATCCATAAGCAATACAACTGCGTTTTAGTTTCCAAACTCCAGAAGGAGACATTCCTCCAGTTTAGTTTCGCTTTCCACACGCGAAGCGGCCACATTTTTTCTTTACAACCTGTCTGGGTGGGAGCCTCCTCCTTCGATTCTATTGGCTCTAACGGTCACAAGGGTATGTCAACCAACCAGATCGAGCAAGGGGCGCCAGAGATAGGTCAAATCCACCCAAATGACCCCAGATGGCCCAGTTTTTGGCTAAATCTCTCTAAAAAGGTCAAATTTCACTTGTTTTACATCAATCTTGATACAGGGTACTTATTATATGTTGTACTTTGGATTCCTAAAGCTTTTAGTCTACTAACCCATCATCCAAGGGTAGTTTTCACTATCTGTAAAAAATAATTTTTGGACGGACACTATAATTTACAGTTTTTTACTATGTAAAATCTGAATTTTCTTTAAAATAAAAAACATTTATATTGATTCTGACACTTCTACATCCAACTCACAGGTTTATCATTACTTTGAGAAAAAAGATTATTAATTTAACCCTTTTAGAAGGGAAGATATGGTCATTTGTTCTGGGAATGTCATTTTCGAGCCTGAGACCTGAAAAACAGGCTCAGAGTGGAACAGGTTAAACAAAAAGCAAAAAAATAACAAAATAACAAAACCTGACTAGACTGGAAATGATCCTCTCTTGGCTGAAGCCTGGCACGACCATCCATGGAAACAAACAAGACAAACTAACACAGGACAGGGGGAGACAGGACTATTTAAACATGAGGTGAGTGGGAACAGGTGGAAACAATCAGGGGCGGGGCAGACGCTGATGAGGGCGGGAAAACACACAAAGGGAGGAAGTAACAGGGCCTGAAATGAGAGACAAGAGGTAAGTACAAAATAAAACAGGAAATGGAAAACGAGACATGACATGAAACACAGGGACTTGACTAGAGATGAAATGAGATAAATAGACAGACATGACATGACGTGAAATAACATGAAAAGACAGACATAACACATAAACATGACAACACATTTGACGAGACACAACAGTTAGTTCATTGAATATATCTTTCATTTGTGCTTGAAAATAACATAACTCAACCTAAAGCTACTTCTTCTAACATTAACTTGTTCATAATAACTCATTACTTTGGTTGATGATTGCTCTGTATAAAGGTCAATCACCTAAATCACATTCTTATCTGTCTCTGTCCACAGTTGGCCAAGCGCTATGGTAACGTATACAGCATTTTCATTGGTAAGCGACCAGCTGTGGTCATCAACGGGCTGCAGGCTTTGAAAGAAGCCCTGGTCACCAAAGCGGCGGACTTCTCTGGCAGATCACAAGACCTAATGGTTAATCATGTTGTACTTGTGAAAGGTACATAACAAGGATTAGCCTTTTTCCATGCAGAGTGATTTTTCATTTGTATGCCATACACACCATAACATCTAAACAGAAAGTATGGAGATATAATTGTTTTTGCAGAGAAATAGTTATCAACCAATAACTTAACACTCTAAAACTGCCTACATGTCAGAGTTAAAGGCCTCATAATGGCACCACCTGTTGGCAGCAGTGGTATTATTAGCAAAGTATCAAGTAGAAGGAGTTATTGACTGATATATTATATAAGATTATCTGATTGTTAATACTGATTCATAAAACATTTAAGCAGCCTTTTATGCTTGCAGCTGGTTAAGGTGGAAATAGTTTTAATTACCTTGGATACAGCAAGGTAGTAGAATCCAGAGGTTACCAACATGGGGTCGGGTTCTACTTTCCACTGCTGGGTAGAATAATGAAACTGTGACAAACACCAATCCACGCTGCTGAGAAGAAACACACAAACATGTAAACCATTAGTATATTCAATGTCGATGATGGTGATCCAGTAGGCAGCTCAATAAGCTATTATTGAAAATATAACGTATCACTGAAATTGTATTCACTGTATTTAAAAAGGCTATTTGAAAGTGAATGCAAGTACTAATTTTACATTTTTGCATATAGCTAATGCTCAAGGAGTGATTCTAGCAGATTATAACGCTGCCTGGAAAGAGCAACGTCGTTTTGGTCTGATGACCCTGAGAAACTTTGGTCTGGGGAAGCAGACGATGGAGCAGAACATTCTGAGAGAGACAGATCATATCACACAGCTGATCGAGCAGAGTGTCGGTATGTCCAATTGTCAACTCACAGTACACAGAAGTTGCTTGTTGCATAACTAAACATATAAGTGAGAATGACATCAGGGTCTAGACATCTTTTGAACTCTGTGCTGTGAACCATACTCTTATTTTATTCTCTTACCGCATTTTTAAAAATCATATTATCTGATATTTAGAACATTATAAGTGTTTTTATTATAATATAATACATTATTATAGTGTCTTCACTTTTGTCAAGATCAAGTCCACGAATCATTTTTCATCTGCTTTTTCCAGGTAAAATGATGAATCCTCAGCAGCTGTTCCACAATGCGGCCTCCAACATCATTTGCCAAGTTCTTTTTGCAAGGCACTTTGACTATGAGGATGAGTTCATGAAGTTTTTTGTTGGCCTTTTTCAAGAGACCTCCAAAATATTCAATGGGCGCTGGGGTATGGTGAGTCACATTTTTGACAACAAAACCACTCAATAGAGAGACAAAGAGTCGATGTGCTTGAGATCTTTTTAAAGTAAACATACCATAAAAAGGGTCCTGAATAATGACTTTAAGGAAATCTAAACTTTTTGAAATCTTTTTTTTTTTCATACAGATCTATGACTCTATTCCAATTGTGCGCAACCTGCCACTGCCCTTCCGGAAGGCCTTTGAGTTGTTTAAGGTATTTTTGAAATAGGTTTGTTGACAGACAGCCAAAAAACATGTTTTATTACAATGATAATGGCTTGGAGTTCAATCCTTGGAGTTGATGAGTACCTATTATAGTCCACAGTACAGCTGAGGCTAATAGAAATGGCTTGTAAGTATCTCTTTATGGCCTTATATGCAATCAAAGCCCAGTATAAGTTATTACAATTCATCAATATCTGTTCACAATTGGGTTGCGTTATCTATTAATTATTATAAACAGAAACAACCTTACAGGGTGTTCAATCAGATTATTATGCTACTGAATATGGTATGCTAGGAAATTGCTTTTTCTTCATTTTTGGGCCACTAAATGGCTTGGTTCCTGTTAATAGGTTAAATTGTCAGTAAAGCCTACAAGACAAGACATGTAGGCCTGAAATTCAGAACATTGTTTTGTTTTCAACTGGAACATTTATATGCCCTTAATAAACCTTAAATTATCTTCTTTTTTTTTGTTCTAAAACTTGGTGAACTTGGTTATTCCACCTCAACTATTTTGTTTATCAGGTCGCACATGAGAAACGTTTGGTGATGGTGGCTGAGAACAAAAAGACCAGAATTCCTGGTAAACCGCGGCATTTCATAGACTCTTACCTGGATGAACTGGATAAGGTGTGTGGTTCTTTTCTGTTCATTGGAAGAATTCTGTCCTGAACACCTGGTATAAACTGACATGTTGTTGACCACTAAGACATTTGAGCTTTGAGGAGGTGACAAAATGAACAATATCTACTCACTCTTTCTTTCTCTTGTCAACCTGCATAGAGAGGAGACGATGGCTCGTCATTTTCTGAGGACCAGCTTTGTGCATTTATTTTGGATCTGCACTTTGCTGGGACAGACACGACTGCCAACACCCTGCTGACTGCCTTCCTCTACCTAATGAATTATCCCAAGATACAGGGTATGGCTCTCTATCATCTGTCTGTCTCCACTTTATTTATTCATACTAGAGGCATGGCTAAAGGGATAAAAATGTCAGTCTGTCAGTTGGTCGAGACTCAAAAAAGAATGTATTGATTACTGATCGCCAATACATAGGCCTTTGTGGTCCTGGAAATATATGGACACCTATTGAACGAATTGTCATCAAATGTGGTACAAACAGTCATGGCTTTCTTTATAACATTGCAAAAGGGTCCCACAATAGTAGATTAAACATGTGACCGTTAATCACATGACTGTTCTATTTAACATTGAAAACACAACTGCTTAGTTAGGTTAGAGCAAAAAAAGAAATCGGTAAGGTTTAAAAGATCATGGTTTGGAACACTATAATTATTGCCTACTTAAGTGACGTAGAACGAAAAGTGGTACAATACTTACATAGCAACATCATTACCTTTAGTGACTTATAATACATTAAAATGTTGTTGACGAATGAATTTTGTTCTCCTAAAAACGTAGGTCTCTTTTTGTTTGACCCACAAATCCACAATGACTTCCTCTATAAACAGACTCGTTCAGCCTATATAATACAGACCTTTGCCTTTGATCTTGTCATATTAACTATGGCCACTACACAAACATATAAGCTGCTTGTACATGTGACTTATAGGTCTATATTTTCATATAACAACATCATCCTAGCTCCTAGTAGTGGGTTAAATGCAGAGGCCAAATTTCACTGTGTGTGCTGTGTGCTCTGCATGTGTGACCATTAAACAGGGTTTCATCCTCCTATTCTATCTATCTATCAAGTCAAAAGAAGACGACAACATGACAAGTCCCGTCAATCCATACGTTACTTTAGACGCATGGACACAGAACACATCTGCACTTCATTTGTCTTCAAATATTTGAGAAGCAACAGTTAGGCTGCCATTAAGCACAGTGGGTAAAACATATTGCAATGTTCTCTCTTTCTGTTAACTAAATCTTTGTCTCTCTACATCATAATGTATTTTCTTTGTATTCACCAGAACGCTGTCAGCAGGAAATAGACAATGTTCTGGATGGGAAAAATGAAGCCTGTTTTGAAGACAGGCATCAGATGCCCTATGTGCAGGTATAAGAACATTTTAAAAGTGTCTTTGAATTGTAAAAACGTAGTAATATATCTGGGTTTGAACAACGTTACAGTTTGATGCTCTGCCAGCTGTGTCTCTGTTATACAGGCTGTCATCCATGAGATCCAGAGGGTGGCCGACACTGTTCCTCTCTCTGTTTTCCATTGCACCAGTAAAGACACACAGCTAATGGGATACTCCATACCCAAGGTAAGAGGACAATATTATGTGTCATAAAAATGTAAAAAGCCTTGAAATTATAGCAGTTTCCCTCTGAACACTAAAAGGTACGATCTGCAATACAGGGAATAGCTGATAATATTGATGTGAATTTCCAATTAGCTCCAAGAAATACTATTAAAATCCAAAAATAGACATATTAATAAATAACATATCCTAATTATGTCGATAAAAGAACATTATATTGCCTCCAGAAATATCAATAATTGGTGATAGTTAAATATACGTTTTTTAGCTCATTTGAACACCTGTGAAGAGGACTGCGAAGAGGTATGGTGAAACCTGATGAAATTGGGAGGGGGGGGGGGGGGGGCGGGGATTAGATTTAGATTTCAATATACAAACCTTGGAAAAGGATCAAGAGCAGTGACAGCCATAGTTATGTACAGCACCAGTCAAAAGTTTGGACACACCTTCTCATTCGCATTTATTTTAATTATTTTCTACATTGTAGATTAATACTGAAGACATCAAAACTATAAAAAAAAACACATATGGAATTATCTAGTAAACAAAAAAGTGTTAAACAATCCAGAATATGATTTATATTTTAGATTCTTCAGAGTGGCCCCCTTTTGCCTTGATGACAGTTTTGCACACTCTTGGCTTCTCTCAGTCACCTGGAATGGTTTTCCAACCGTCTTGAAGGACTTCCAAGAGGAGCTGAGCACTTGTTGGCTGCTTTTCCTTCACTCTGCGGTCCAACTGATCCCAAACCATCTCAATTGGGTCATCTGACGCAGCACTCCACCGCTTTCCTTTTTAGTCAAAAAGCCCTTACATAGCCTGGAGGTGTATTTGGTGTCAGGGAATAATTCTGTATACATGTTTACCTTTTGCCCTCTAATGCAGATGCCCAACATGGAGCAGCCGTTATCTCCCTTAAGGAGGGGCTGCCCAAGCATTTTGTTATTGTTATCAGTTCATGACCGGGCAACTCTCGGTCAGAGTTTATTGTTGTGGGGACACTGGAAGACTTCCTTCTCGGGGCTTGTTGACTCCAAGGTGTGAAATCTTCGAGGCCATAGGCGTCAGCTGCAACTGATTCAGTGTCCCCAGCTGTTTAGTCTATCTAGTCAAGAATGTGGATTACCCTCCTCCAAACTAGTTCAAAGGTCTATCCAGAGACAGGCTCTTGAGAATTGATTGTGGCATCTCAACCGTGTGGTCAGACCGTGGCCCGTGACATGTCTTGTGAATTATCCGGCCGAAGCTCCAAATAAAACCTCAGTATTTGCCATCATAGCTCCAGCTTTCCACGTGTCTCCTTTGAGTCCTGACTCCAATTGCTACAGAAGTTTCCCCCACATTTGGTAATTGTCTTTTAAAAACAAAAGATGGTCCCAGTAAGCGCAAACCAGATGGGATGGCATGGTGCTTCAGAATGCTGTGGTAGCCATGCTGGTTAAGTGTGCCTTGAATTCTGAATAAATCACCAACAGTGTCACCAGCAAAGACCCCCCATACCATCACACTTCCTCCTCCATGCTTCACGGTGGGAATCACACATGCAGAAACCATCCGCTCACCTTCTCTGCGTCTCACAAAGACACAGTGGTGGCTGGTACATTTTTCTCCAGGGGGGGCTCTACCAACATTTAAGCAAACTTATACACAAACTCAAAACATAATGAGGTCCTATTCAGTGGCGAGCCGTCAGGGCCCTCTAGGCCCTCTCTGAGGGTCTAAGATATTCTAAAAAATAATATTTGAAAACATTTTTTTTAAAAAGCATTTTTTTCTTTAATATACTTAAAACAAATATTGTTTTAGTTATATTTTTCATTAGTTTTACCAAAATAACTTGATTTAATTGTATTTAAAATAACATTTCCAAAGAAATAAATCCTTCGAATCTGCCTGTTCAGTTTCTGTTGGAATGTGAAGGGTTAAATGCCGTCTCTGCGAGTTATGTGAAGACGGGAGAGCTTGTTGGTCCCTCTGTACATTCACAGAGGGCCCGCTATAGAGAACCGCAGTGACGCGTCCTAAAACCCGGAAGTAAACTTCTTCCGGTTCCTTCGACAAAAATGCAATGCAATTTCTCCATAGGATTTTGGAAAATAGCTCGAAATAAGGTCTGTGGTTGACACATTTAAGAGACGGATCACGTTTTGTTCAGCCGGATAATATCCACATGTCTACCCTACTTTTATAATTTTCGAATCATAAATCTAATCGATAGATTTATGATCGATAGATTTATGATTAGCATAAGTTCGTTCATGATGGCTCATGTCAGTGAGCCATTATTATGCTTACTGATCCCTATCCTGATGACATCGTTGCGAAATTATTAACCAAGTCATTTTCAAGATTGAGTTACAATGATAAATTGGAGTGACAAAGGATCAGCTGCATGACCCCGCCATCAAGTGCTTCATCCAAAAGGACAGGAGGATGGACTTTGTGTTTAAGTGATTTGATCATCATAGGTAGGCCTAAGTCATTTTCAATGTGGGCCGCCGTGCCAACTTAATTCATTTTTAATTGTTACTTAGCTGTGGGTGCCCTGTCATGATAGGTGTTTTATATAAATGGTGTTGTTTTGTGTGGTAGAGGGTCGCTGTCATTGATGCGTTTTGCACCCCGGGCCGTTGTTTTGATATTCCGCTGAGGTATACGCTGTGACGTAATAACTCTACTTTTTTGTTTTTTTTTCGAGGGAAGGGGTGGGGGTCAGAGGGCCTAGGTATAAAAGTCACGGCTCGCCACTGGTCCTATTACAACGCAGGGCTAGCTCAAAGGCACACAGCACTTGATACAGTCTATTATTTTAGTGCCTGCTTTTGTCAACCTCCTTATTATGCTTACTGATCCCTATCCTTTATAAATAAAACCTGATTTGATTTGATTTGATTATCCTGTAGCCCTCATTGGACAGCTGTGTTTACTTTCTTAAACATGGCTAGTCACATAGCATCATCCATGTGGACTCTAGTTTGTTCATGCTTTTTCTGATATGTGTGTACCAGTGGCGAACCGTCAGGGCCTTCAAGGTATTCAGAGAATACCCTGGAACACTTAGATAAAACAAACAAAAAAATCGATTTAATTATATAAATAAAATGCGGCGGCGGGGGGGTGTATGTCTACAGAAGGTCCAGTTGTGATAGACATGGTTCGCCACTGGTGTGTACTGTTCTCTCTATGTGCTGTACTGTCTCAGTGTGAACATAGATTCAACAGCCAGCCAAACTCTTTTGAGAGCCAGGGAATGAGCAGCCATGCTCCTTTATTGACTTATTGCAGTCCACTGACATTCAAACGGAGTGAAACTATAAAAAAAAGATTAACACATAGGACCGCTAAGTATAAACAAGGTAAATATAGCTAATGCTAGCTGTGCAATAAGCATGTATACACAACACAGTCTCACGGCATTTCGTGTTATAGTCACGAAATTAATTTATTGATTCGTGTTCACCAACACGATTTCGCCATTTTTTTCGTGTCACACAGAACGATTTTAAAAGCAATGTAAATAATAACAAATTAGAAGGAAAAAGACATTAAAAAAAATACAGATTTAAGTATTCTGACACAGAACGATTTTAGAAGCAATGTATTTATATTGGTAGTATGTTTCGTGCCTGCACCAAATAATAACAAATTAGAAGGAAAAAAAGATGACATAAAATACAGATTTCAGTATTCTGAGGCTCTGAGCCCCATTTATTTTCCTCACTGACGGCAAAAAAACTCAGACATTATACAATTTAAAATAACAGGGATAGGGTTAGGCTTAGGGTAAGATATTGAGTAAGAACATGTTTTTATGAACCACACAGCTTCTGGTCTTCCAAGACCCGACCGGACAAAAAGACGTGTTGCAGGCACGAAACATACTACCAATAGAAATACATTGCATTTAAAATCGTTCTGTGTGACACGAAAAAAATGTGAAAATCGTGTTGGTGAACACGAATCAATAGATTAAATTAATTTCGTGACTAATAACACGAAATGCCGTGAGACTGGGTTGGTATACAGGCTAGTATGGCTAACGCTAGCATGTATGCTAACGCTACTGTGTATGCCAACGCTAGCGCGAATGCTATGCTTATGTCGCGTTCACACCAAAAAGAGTACTTAGTGCCGGGAACTTTTACCCCCATTTTTAGTGCCTGCTGAGAGATGGTACTATCCTGGGGGAAAAAAGTGCCCCAGTTCTGATTGGCTGGGCGAATTGCAAACCACGCCCCGTAAAACTCTGAAATGTTTTGTAGAGCCGCCATTTTATTATCCTCGCATTAGCATTATTAGCATTAGCATTCGCCCAGCGCACAAACGCAGAGAGACTAACTTATGGCAACACAAAATAAAACATGGGAGCGGTGGAGATGAGGAGGTGTCGGTGTTCTGGCGATTTACTCGGAAGGCTTCAGTAGAAGCTGCTGGGAGTCCCAGCAGCTTCTACTGAAGCCAGTCCCCAACTCCGGGGACTTCCGGCTGGGGACTTCGGGTGGCAGTATACACCGTGGGTGTTTCTCAATCGCGAGTACGCTTGCTTGGTAGCACATGTCTGCCGAGCATCTTGCTTCAGAAGCGAGGTAAGAATACTTCCTGGCATTCGGAAAACGAAGAATAAAGTAGGGTAGACATGTGGATATTATCCGGCTGAACAAAACGTGATCCGTCTCTTAAATGTGTGTCAACCACAGACCTTATTTCGAGCTATTTTCCAAAATCCTATGGAGAAATTGCATTGGTTTTTGTCAAAGGAACCGGAAGTGGTAAAATGCTAACTTACTTCCGGGTTTTAGGACACGTCACTCACTGTGGCACTCTATGGCCAAAGATTTCTGCGCCCCAAGCAGGAAACACGTGACTTATCAGTAACTTTAGACATTGTAAAACAATTTTTATCTATATTTTATCGTAGATTATACATTTAACTGACACCAACTATATAATATGTACCTTGTTCATTTTTTTATAAAAAAATTAAAATATTTTTTAATCACAATCTAGAATGTGGGAAGAGGTGGGGCGGCGCCCTAGCGCCCCTATGGGCCGGCCACCACTGCAAAGACACAGCGGTAGGAACCAACAATCTCAAATTTTGACTCATCAGACCAAAGTACAGATTTCCACTGGTTTAATGTCCATTCCTTGTGTTTCTTGGCCCAAACAATTATCTTCTTCTTCTTGTTCATCCTCAGTAGTGGCTTCTTTGCAGCAATTGGACCATGAAGGCCTGATTCACGCAGTCTCCTCTGAACAGTGGATGTTGAGATTGTCTGACAATAGTCAAATAGGGTTATCCACTGTGCACTAACCCTACCTCTGCACAACACAACTGATGGTCTCAAACACATTCAGAAGGCAACTAATTCCACAAATTGACTCTTGACAAGGCACACGTGTTCATTTTAAACCATTCCAGGTGACTACATCATGAAGCTGACTGAGAGAAGCCAAGCTGTTGTCAAGGCAAAAGGGAGCTATTTTGAAGAATCTAAAATATAAATAATATTCTGGATTTTTTAACACTTTTTGGTTACTTGATAATTCCATATGTGTTCTTTTATAGTTGTGTTGTCTTCAGTATTAATCTACAAAGTAGAAAACAATTAAAATAAACAAAAACCATTGAATGAGAAGGTGTGTCCAAACCTTTGACTGGTACTGCACATCCAGCTCTTTTTCAATTCTTCCTTGTTTGATTTTCAGGGAACCATTATCATTCCTAACCTGTCCTCAGTGCTGAAGGAGGAGGGACAGTGGAAATCTCCCCATGAATTCAACCCTGAAAACTTCCTCAATGACCGGGGAGAGTTTGTTAAACCAGAAGCCTTCGTGCCATTCTCTACAGGTGAGTCAAACGTTAAGCACATTCATAGATTGAAAGATTTATTGGAGGTTTGATTGAAGAAATGTCATTAGGTTATGGAGAATATGCGTTTTTACCTGCAGGTCATCGTATGTGTCTCGGAGAGGTTCTGGCTCGTATGGAGCTCTTCCTCATTGTGGTAACGCTTCTGAGGAGGTTCAAGTTCATCTGGCCAGAAGATGCAGGAGAGCCAGACTACACGCCTGTTTTTGGTTCGACCCAGACCCCTAAACCCTATTCAATGAAGGTGCAGGTCAGAAGTCGGAGGCTATCCTAATACTGATTACATCCTACACAATTCAACACTGGATTGTAAAAAAAAGTGTTTTGATTATTGCTGCACTAATCAATCAATTAATCATGATGTTTAAGGGGTTTACTTGTAGTGACAAACCCTCAGGGGGATTTTATCATGTCTGCAGTTCCCTTCAGCTCTACAGAGCTTTATCGTGTCTTTCTACTTTTTTCACACCTCACACAAAACCTGTTTAATTAAGGCTGCTTTTACACGGGAACGTTTGCGTTTATGCACAGTATGCGTTTTCAAAAAAGTCTTCCGTTCACATGCATTTGTTTCATTTAACGTGTCTGTTCAAACGAGACCGCTGGAAACGCTGTAGTACATATGCCGGGACTGTAAGTGGCGCTGTACTTCCACACGAGACCGCTCGAAAGCGCTGGATACGCTGTAGTACATATGCCGGGACTGTAAGTGGCGCTGTAACTTCCGCCACAAAATACACCAAAAGCAGCGAAGAAGACCCCGGAGCAGCCCTGCGCAATGTTGCCATGGCTACCCTTCTGTTTATGCCCCGCGGTGGATTTAGCAACATGTAGTAGTTCATGTAATTCTCCATGTCCACTTGCTGCTGGTTGTGGTAGAGGAGCTGTAGATGTTGCACTAACATCTGTAGCATGGTCGAGCTGTAGATGTTGTACTAACATCTGTAGCATGGTCAGAAGCAGTAGCACTACTGACAGTAGCTACTGCTAGTGCTACAGCAGTGAGCAGCAGAGGCGGGGAGAGGTGGGGCTATCGTTATTTTGTCAGGAAATATTCGTATAGAGGCGATTACACGGACTCGTTTGACCCCCCAGAGAGTTTCGTTTGCAAATCTATCCACCTTCGGACCCGTTATCGTTTGTGGGGTCCGTTTGTTACGGCCTTGTGTAAATAATAGGGCTATACGTAAGAAACTATGCAGATACAAGCCGTTTCGTTCTCGTGTAAATGTGGCCTAAGTCTCACTGCTCTCATCTACCTAGTTTCCAGACAAAGAAAGTACACTTTTGTGAAGATCAAAGAGCTAAAGCAAAGTTGATTGTACTCACTGTTTTGTTCACAGATGGCACATCATACAGTATTATATCTTATCAGATGCAACTTTTAATCTTAAGATTTTCTAAATTTATGAAATGTACTTCTCAGTGTTTCCTTGTTACCAATGAATATTTTATTTGTTAAACAATGTACATTTTGATCAAATTAATAAATCTAATAAGGATGGAAATTGTTCATTTTCTAAGGATGGTTCATTTCAACATCATGGTGGCTAAAGTTCCAAAACCAACAGAAATTCATCTTTCGGACACTAAATAACTACAGAAAGGTTCTTTGAGGACATCAAACCTGTTGTGAAGATGTCTTATTTGTTTTTTTGGAAATATTGTATTTTGTATCTCCCCTAAATCATCCAGCTAACAGAATGTTACTTGGCTGCATGGGCGGGGCCAGAGGGGTGGCCTGGATCGGCAGGTGCCACCCCTGGAACGTGACGTGGTTAGTCAAGAAGAAGTATTAGTATATGTTTCATCTTCACGTCAAATGCATATTTTCTACTTTTTAATTTCTATTTTGATATGTTTCAAATTTTTGAAATGTTTATTTCTACTCTTTTAATTTCTAATGATGTGCAATGCCTTGTTTTTTATGCTGCTGCAACGCAAACATTTCCCAATTTGGGATCAATAAAGTACATCTTATCTAATAGGAACCAAAAATACAGTTACGTTGAAGTTGCACTCAATTGCATTTTGATAAAGTGCCATTTTGAATAAAACTTTTTTTTACAGGATTCCCTTCAACACATTAACTTCAATGAAAACATTTCTCTACTAAAATATTTTTTTATGGTGATTAATTGTCTCTTTGTTGTAATTTTCTGTCTCTTTGCAGCTGTTTTCCATCTAATTGTAGGACTCTTTAAAGTAAAGACACTACATACCGATATACACCTGAACATCAGCAGGAGAGGACTCTTTAAAGTAGAGACACTACATACTGATATACAGTACACCTGAACATCAGCAGGAGAGGACTCTTTAAAGTAGAGACACTACATACTGATATACTGTACACCTGGACATCAGCAGAAATGTAAACAAAAATCAAATTTTGCTGGTGCTGTTGCATTTAAAATCAAATAGTTGACTAAAACAAACTTGAAAGAAATCAAATACATAGTGTTGTTTTTTCATTTGTTTATATTTATTATGATAATTGTTGAATGTAAACAAGGTAATAAAGTAAGTACTGAAGTAGCTTTAAGTCAGTGTATTGATCAGGGCAGAGCCAGGTGAGCTAAAGTCACTCAATACAAAGGTAACTAGACAAAAACAGGAGGAACAAACGAGAAAGAATTCTAGTGTTATTTTGAATTTGAATGTCTTTGTATTGATTGTTATTATTAGTTGAATTCTCAGACTAAATCTCTGGTGACTTGAAATTAAAAGCAAGAAGCTAAACTTAGACAGGAGAAACAAACGTGAAATAAATCAAACGTGTCAGTATTGTTATCATTATCATTATTTTTTTTTTATTGATTGACAAGACTTTAACTTAACAAGAAAACAATGGACTAAACATAAATATAGAAATGTACTATTAAGTAAATATGAAAAATATAAGATACATATAAAAATTGACTATTAACTAAACATGATAAATATAACATAAATATAAAAATGAACTATTAAGTAAATATGAAAAATATAACTTAAATATGAAAATGAACACTATAAATCAAACATGACGATATAACATAAACCTGATAACTTGTAATGACTAAATGTTCCTCTTATTTAGGGGTGCTAGAAGCAAAGGAATAGTTTATTTATTTTAAAATTAAGGTTGTTTTTTTGCCCCTAGTGGCTAAAACTGCACATCACTGTGAGTCTCTTCTGGAACCTTTGTTGATGTCTAACCAGATCTAATAACTGTTAAGTGTTTAAATATATATCCTGACTGGCTGTGAGTATATGTTGTTGCTCACTCACTTTGAGCTTTAGACTGTACTTGAAATGTTTTAATGTCTTACTAATTTTTGATGTTGTGAGTTTGTTTTTTAAAGTTTTTAAAGCCGATGTCAGGGCTGCCTTTGAGTCTTATGTTTTCCTTTTTAGTCATCGTTGATGTTTGGGCGGATACAAGAAAAGGAATTGATGAATCTTCTCCACCGTGGTGTTGTCCTCCTCTGCGTTGTTGGGATCGGCTCATTGGTTTGCTCAGGTGGATCCACCCTCACTTCCTGTTCCACCTCCAACTCCACCTTTACCTCCACAAGCTCCTCCTTCACCACGCAGAGTGCCTTTGGTGGTTTTTTCAGCTGTTTCTTCAGCAAGGCGGCTATCTCTGCATCCTTTTCCTCAACACAACGTTCCTTCTGTTGTTCCAGTTTGTGGTTTCTCTCATGCAAAGCAACTATCTCTGCATCCTTCTCCTCCACACAACGTTCCTTCTGTTGTTCCAGTTCGTGGTTTCTCTCATGCAAAGCGACTATCTCTGCATCCTTCTCCTCCACACAACGTTCCTTCTGTTGTTCCAGTTCGTGGTTTCTCTCATGCAAAACGACTATCTCAAAATGTTTCACCTCAAGACAACGCAACTTCTCTTGTTTGAGTTCCTGGTTTGTCTTTTGCAAGGCAGCCATCTCTGCATCCTTCTCCTCAACACAGGGTTCTTTCAGTTGTTTGAGATCCTGGTTTGCCTTTCTCAAGGTGGCCATCACTGCTTTGTCCTTCTCGTGCATCTTGAGGAGCTTTCCATATTTCATGTTCAGTTCCTCATTGTTTCCGCGCAAGACTTTCTGCTCAATTTCCAGGGCATTCATTTTCACATCGTGCCTCACTTCTGGTTCCACTTTCACCTCCACAACCTCTTTCTTGTCCACCTTCGCCTCCTCCACCACACAACGTTCCTTCTCTTGTTTCAGTGTTTGGTTTTCCTTCAGCAAGGCGGCCATCTCGGCAACCTTTTCCTCAACACAACGTGCCTTTTGTTGTTCGAATTCCTGGTTTGCCTTTTCCAAGGCGGCCATCTCTGCTTTGTCCTTCTCATGCAACTTGAGGAGCTTCCCATATTTCATGTTCAGGTCCTCATTGTTCAAGCGCAATACTTTCTGCTCAATTTCCAGGGCATTCATTTTAACATCATGCCTCACTTCTGGTTCCACCTCCACTTTCACCTCCACATCCTCCTTCTTGTCCACCTTCTCCTCAACACAACGCTCCTTCTCTTGCTTCAGTGTTTGGTTTTCCTTCAGCAAAGCAGCTATCTCTGCATCTTTCTCCTCAACGCAACGCAACTTTTGTTGTTTGAGTTCCTGGTTTGTTGTTTGCAAGGCGGCCATCTTTGCGTCCTCCTTAACACAACGCTCCTTCAGTTGTGTGAGTTCCTGGTTTCTCTCACGCAAATTAGCTATCTTTACAGCTTTGTCCTCAACACAATGATCCTTTTGTTGTTGGAGTTCCTGGTTTCTCTCACGCAGAGCAGCTATCTCTACAGATTTCTCCTCAAGACAACGCTCCTTTTGTTGTTTGAGTTCTTGGTTAGTCTTTTGCAAGGCGGCCGTCTTTGCATCTTTCTCCTCAACACAACGCTCCTTCTCTTGTTTCAGTGTTTTGTTTTCCTTCAGCAAGGCAGCTATCTCTTTATCCTTCTCCTCCACACAACGCTGCTTCTGTTGTTGGAGTTCCTGATTTGTCTCACGCAAAGCAGCCATCTCTACACCTTGCTCCTCAACACAGGGTTCTTTCAGTTGTTTGAGTTCCTGGTTTGCCTTTCTCAAGGCAGCCATCTCGGCTTCGACCTTCTTGTGTGACCTCTGGAGGTTTCTGTATTTCATGTTCAGGTCCTCATTGTTGACGCGCAAGACGTTCTGCTCAATTTCCTGGGCTTTCACTTTCACATTGTGCTTAAACTGCAAAGCTGATTTCTCTGTATATGCTTTGAGCATCGCTTCCTTCTTTTTAGCGCCTTCAATCTCAAGCTTATCGCTTAAAGTCCTCTCCTGCTCCAGCAACAACTTCATTTCCTGATTTTCTTTTTGCAGAATCTCGAGCTTGACTGCCAGCTCATCTCTATTGTTCATCTCCATCTCTACTGCTGTGACGAAATGACCATGTCCAATCTATTTAATTTACCACAGGTGGAGTCCAGTCAAGTTATAGAAACATTTCAAGGATGATCAGTGGAAACGGGATGCACTTGAGCTCAATTTTCAGTGTCATATCAAAGGTTGTGAATACTTATGTACATGTGATATTTCATTTTATTATTTTTAACACATTTGCGAAAAATTCTTTAAAAACGTTTTCTATTTGTCATTATGGGGTATTGTGTGTGGAA